GATTGTGTGGATTAGGGGGAGTCCACCCTGGAGGCCAGGACCCTACTGGGAGGCAGATGTGGCGGTCCTAGAGAGAGAGAGTGCCGTGCTGAACCCAGGCAGTAGCCGCAGCAGCACCGGAGAAAATGACACGGACTATCGGGGGACATTGGAAGTAAAATAAACAGCCTGGTTTCGGATTAGAAAAGGAACCATGTAACACGTTGCTAAGCTTTCTCATCTCATGGGTGAGGGTGATGGTTGTGTCCTTCACTGAGACAGGAGCAGGGCTAGGGTTTTGAGGCAGTAGGTGTGAATCTGCATGGCATCAAGCTGTAGGACCTTGGGCAAGTTGTTACTTCTCTTCTCCAGTTTCCTCACATGTAAAAGAAAAAACATTTTAAAAGTAACAACCTCAGAAGATAATACAGCGTCTGATACATAATATACACTGTTACTATACAGTTTTTAAAAATTGAAGTATTGTTGATTTACAGTGTTTCTGGTGTACAGAAAAGTGCCTCAGTTATATATACACATATGTACTCTTCTTCACATTCTTTTCCATTATGGGTTATCACAAGATACTGCATGTAGTTCCCTGCACTATACAGTACATCCTTATTGTTTATCAGTTTTATATGTAGTAGTGTGTATCTGTTAATCCCAAACTCCTAATTTATCCCTTCCCCCTCTTTCCCCTTTGGTAGCCATAAGTTTGTTTTCTATGTCTGTGATTTTGTTTCTGTTTTGTAAATTCACTTGTATCATTTTTTTAGATTCCACATCTAAGTGATATCTTATGATACTTGCCTTTCCCTGTCTGACTTACTTCACTTAGTATGATAATCTCTAGGTGCATCCATGTTGCTGCAAATGGCACTATTTCATTCTTTATTTTTTTTAATTGGCTGAGTAATATTTGTGTGTGTGTATATATATATATATAATATATATATCTTTTTATTCATTCATTCACATCTTTTTATTCATTCATCTGTTGACATTTAGGTTGCTTCCATGTCTTTGCTATTATAAATAGTGCTGCTGTAAACATTGGGGTGCACGTACCTTTTCGAATTAGAGTTTTTGTCTTTTCTGGATTTATACCTAGGAGTGGGATTGCTGGATCATATGGTAGCTTTATTTTTAGTTTTTCCAGGAACCTTCATGCTATTTTCCATAGTGGCTGCACCAGTTTACAGCCTCACTAACAGTGTAGGAGGGTTCCTTTTTCTCCACAGCCTCTCCAGTATTTATTATTTGTAGACTTTTTGATGACAGTTGTTCTGACTGGTGTGAAGAGGTACCTCACTGTAGTTTTGATTTGCATTTCTCTAATAATTAGCAATCTTGAGCC